TTGAGTAATCAGTGAAATATATAAACGACAAAGCAGTTTAACAATGGAATGAATATCAATCAAAAGTGAAAAGCTCCAGGTTGTAGTCATGAAAACTGTGGCTTTTAATGTAAACACTACATTCGATTGGTTTTCCAGCACGAACATCCCACATGAAAGAACAACCATTCACTAAAGAAGAGGGAGAAAAAGCAGCACAAAAGCATTCACTTGGAGAGAAAAAGAAAGGCTTAAAAAAAGAAGGGAAGGAGAATCAAAATCAACGGTGGTGAAGGTAATTGTACAGTTTTTTTTTTCTCTTTTTCTTTGAATTTCAAACTGAGAAGGCAGAGAGGGAGGAGAGATACATCTTTCCAAATCTACGTGTGATAGGTGAGAGCTGTGCTTTTCTATGCAGACCTGGAAGGTGTTTGAGTACAATTCTCAAAAAACCAAGAGAAAGCGCATGAATCTGTACAGCCGTGCACAGCCCCGCCCTCTCCAGCACAGGGGGCAGAGCCGTGCCACCAAAAAGTGATTCGTTCAAAAAAAATGAAAAAAATCAATACATATACTGTAATTCAGGCTAAGTAAAGACATTGCAATGCAGGGCGAACAGGCAAAAAGAATCGGTACAGTTCATCAACATCAACATGGGTAAGTCAGTAAGAACGTTTCAAGAGTGGATCACAGGAACCCTTGCAAAATTCTTTTTTTTTTTTAAAAAAGGGGGAGAGAGGGGAAAAAAAGTTCTGTAGCTACAAAGCACAAGAAATATACCTTTAATAATATTACAGAATAATCATTGATATTGGTATTGTTATCATCATCGTCGTTTGTTATTATTGTCATCCTTTTTTTTTTCTTTTTTTTATCAATTATTTCTAAGATTCTAGAACTGGAGGATCTACAGCTTTCTACAAAGACTGACAGCCCAATGACCTTCGTCTGCAAGCCTCCACATCATTTCCCTGAGCCCCACATCTAGCCGCCCACCCCCTAAACCCCGCCCACATGATGCCCATTCTTTTTGCTCTGTCTGTCTTTTCCGTTTTTTCCTCTTTTTTTGTTCTTTTTATTTAGTGTTTTATTCTTTATTTTCGCACCATTAGCTATGTGAAGCAGTTAGCTGTTTCTTTATACAAAGGCTGAGGGGTCATGCTATCAGTGACGGGGACTCCAATACCCAGCCAACTAAAACAGGAAGAAACCTAGGGAAAAGAAGGAATGAAAAGGGAAGGGTGACAACGGACGAGAGGTAGAAGAATGGACGAGGTGTAGTAAGTACAAAGGAAGTGTGTGGGACAGATGATCAATAAATAAATTAATAAATTAATCAACAACAATACAAAAGCAAAAGTTCCTCACAAGACGAATGTTAGTAAGTTCTCATAACAGTGACCTAGTGTTCCTAGTACTATTCCCAGACACGTCATTCTCAGAAGGTTGGCACTGATATGACACTTGCAATCATCGTACTGGTTCGACAGGCCCCGGGGTCGCAAGCCAAGCGGCCCGGGCCCTTCCCAGAGAGCTGACCTACGGAAGTGACGGGGATGGGTAGAGACGAAATGTAAGAAAAGCCTGGGTGTTTCCATTCTCTACGATATCGAACGGTACTACAGTGATTCAAAATCCGAAACAAGGACACGCTACAACTGACTTGAACCGTAGTGCTCAAGACTAGCATAACCATGGATTTAGCTATCGTCACATTATCGTCAAAGTAAATTCATGTAGCCAGGCAAACATGTACAGGTCATCCCCAATTAAGGCATGTTGCTTGATGAGGAAAATATACTAATGTATACTGTAGCTAGTAATATGCAAATAATATATATTAACATATACACACTACTGTTCAAATGAATAAAGGCTGTTCAAAATCAGCATATTAGAATGATTTCTGAAGGATCATGTGACACTGAAGACTGCAGTAATTACTACTGAAAATTCAGCTTTGCCATCACGGGAATTTATTCCATTTTAAAATGCAGTAAAATAAAAAATATTTAAACTTGTATTAATATTTCACAATATTGACATTTTTACTGTATTTTGCCGTTGAGCATAAGAGAAGTCCTTCAAAAAACATTAAAAAAAAAGTTTCTGATCGCCAAATTTTCAATGGTAATGTGTATAGGTTTATATATATATATATATATATATATATATATATATATATAGACAGACAGACGGACAGATAGATGTCATTGAGGCAGAGTGCTTCTTCACTGTATAGCTATATAAAGCCTTTGTGTTGAGTTGGGTGGACATAGTCGACACCAATTACATCTGCAGTTTCCCATCATAGTCTGCATTTCATCCTCCTATCTTAACCCACACACAAACTCTTCCTCTCATTTTCTCTCCCTCTCTTTCCATATGTGAAGCTCTCATTGCAATTATCATCCAATCAGACTGACACAAAGTGGCGCTTCCTCTTTTGAAGCTGTGGTAGAGTGACTGAGCATCTCCTTCTTCTCTCTCCAGGACCGTCTGGCTGAAGACACACTTAAGAGGCACAGAGACATAATTATTTCCCTTGGGATTCAAGCGCACTTCCTCCATGTCCCCTATATTGCATAATAAGATGTTGACAGTTTGTATAGTAAATATAGCACACATTGGTGAATAGGTTGTAGTACTTTATGTTAAATTAAAACAGATCACCTTACATTTAATCATGTGAATACTGTCTGTACTTTTAGTACTGCATAAATTTACCTTGAATCATCATTTATGCTAACTAATCTCTGTTGGTATCTGTATTGTTTCATCTGAGTCAAAAATTGCCATCTTGGAGGCCTCATTCATTTGAGTAATCAGTGAAATATATAAACGACAAAGCAGTTTAACAATGGAATGAATATCAATCAAAAGTGAAAAGCTCCAGGTTGTAGTCATGAAAACTGTGGCTTTTAATGTAAACACTACATTCGATTGGTTTTCCAGCACGAACATCCCACATGAAAGAACAACCATTCACTAAAGAAGAGGGAGAAAAAGCAGCACAAAAGCATTCACTTGGAGAGAAAAAGAAAGGCTTAAAAAAAGAAGGGAAGGAGAATCAAAATCAACGGTGGTGAAGGTAATTGTACAGTTTTTTTTTTCTCTTTTTCTTTGAATTTCAAACTGAGAAGGCAGAGAGGGAGGAGAGATACATCTTTCCAAATCTACGTGTGATAGGTGAGAGCTGTGCTTTTCTATGCAGACCTGGAAGGTGTTTGAGTACAATTCTCAAAAAACCAAGAGAAAGCGCATGAATCTGTACAGCCGTGCACAGCCCCGCCCTCTCCAGCACAGGGGGCAGAGCCGTGCCACCAAAAAGTGATTCGTTCAAAAAAAATGAAAAAAATCAATACATATACTGTAATTCAGGCTAAGTAAAGACATTGCAATGCAGGGCGAACAGGCAAAAAGAATCGGTACAGTTCATCAACATCAACATGGGTAAGTCAGTAAGAACGTTTCAAGAGTGGATCACAGGAACCCTTGCAAAATTCTTTTTTTTTTTTAAAAAAGGGGGAGAGAGGGGAAAAAAAGTTCTGTAGCTACAAAGCACAAGAAATATACCTTTAATAATATTACAGAATAATCATTGATATTGGTATTGTTATCATCATCGTCGTTTGTTATTATTGTCATCCTTTTTTTTTTCTTTTTTTTATCAATTATTTCTAAGATTCTAGAACTGGAGGATCTACAGCTTTCTACAAAGACTGACAGCCCAATGACCTTCGTCTGCAAGCCTCCACATCATTTCCCTGAGCCCCACATCTAGCCGCCCACCCCCTAAACCCCGCCCACATGATGCCCATTCTTTTTGCTCTGTCTGTCTTTTCCGTTTTTTCCTCTTTTTTTGTTCTTTTTATTTAGTGTTTTATTCTTTATTTTCGCACCATTAGCTATGTGAAGCAGTTAGCTGTTTCTTTATACAAAGGCTGAGGGGTCATGCTATCAGTGACGGGGACTCCAATACCCAGCCAACTAAAACAGGAAGAAACCTAGGGAAAAGAAGGAATGAAAAGGGAAGGGTGACAACGGACGAGAGGTAGAAGAATGGACGAGGTGTAGTAAGTACAAAGGAAGTGTGTGGGACAGATGATCAATAAATAAATTAATAAATTAATCAACAACAATACAAAAGCAAAAGTTCCTCACAAGACGAATGTTAGTAAGTTCTCATAACAGTGACCTAGTGTTCCTAGTACTATTCCCAGACACGTCATTCTCAGAAGGTTGGCACTGATATGACACTTGCAATCATCGTACTGGTTCGACAGGCCCCGGGGTCGCAAGCCAAGCGGCCCGGGCCCTTAGAAAGCGCATGAATCTGTACAGCCGTGCACAGCCCCGCCCTCTCCAGCACAGGGGGCAGAGCCGTGCCACCAAAAAGTGATTCGTTCAAAAAAAATGAAAAAAATCAATACATATACTGTAATTCAGGCTAAGTAAAGACATTGCAATGCAGGGCGAACAGGCAAAAAGAATCGGTACAGTTCATCAACATCAACATGGGTAAGTCAGTAAGAACGTTTCAAGAGG